TGATCGTGTTAAGGCGATATCCTTGTATTTTTATGTTTTCATTTTATCTAATTTACTATTTTTTTTTTAATAAAAAAATGGTGTTTATTTTGATAGTGTAAAAGCGGTATGCATTTTTTCCTGTGTATATTTGATCGTGTTAAAGCGATATCCTTGTTTTTTATATTTTATTTTATTTGTTTTTTTTTTTTTTTTTTTTTTTTTTTTTTTTTTTTTAATGATGTTTATTTTGATGGTGTAAAAGCGGAATGCATTTTTCCTGTGTATATTTGATCGTATATTCGATCGCTAAAACGACATAATTTTTGTCTTCTGTATTTTATTTCATATTATTATTTTAATTTTATTTTTCTAAAAAATATATATATTTTAAAAGTATATCACGTATATTTTCATCGTGTTAAAGGGACGTGTATTTTTTTTTCTTAATATCCATTTTGATTTGCTCATTTGGTGTCTTAGATGTCAAAAATCAATTTTTGATATTTATAAAATAAAATGTACATATCAGTTGTTTTTTATCCGCATTTTTGCAACACTTTCATTCATAAATTTCTTGCAATATACATTTCATCGCAAGAAATACGCAAGTCCACATTTTTTTTTTTTTTTTAATCTTTCTTTCTCTACAATTTCAAAGCAAATAATAACACAGAGCAAGGATGCTTTAGTACGTATTTCCTCACAAAGAAGTGAAGTTAGTTAAAAAAAAATGTTTTAGGCCCGACGCACGCCCATCGCTTACGGTATTCGCTCTTTCGGCAGATTACTCCTTTTAGGGCGAATCTGATAAATTATGGAGAGCTTCCCCCTCACCTTCCCCGTAGCCTAACCCTTTCCCTCTCCCTCCTCTTCCTCCTCTTCTCCTTCCCCCTCTTTCTCCTCCTTCCCTTTTCCTCCTCCCTCTTTCTCCTTCTCCTCCTGTTCTCTATTCCACTTCCCCTTCCTTCTTTCCTCCGTCTCCTCTTCCTTTTCCTAACCTTCCTCCCTCCTTCTTTTCTTCCTCCTCCCTCCTCCTCCCTTTTCTTCTTCCCTCTTGTCTTCGTTTCTTCGTCCCACTCCCTCTCTTCTTCTTCTTCCACTTCCTCCTCCTTTTCATTCTCCCTCTCCTCCTCCTCCTACTACTCCTGCTCAGCACCGTTTACCCGACCGCCGGACCGTTACCTGAGTCGGCCTGGCGTCAAGTATAAAAGCCGGGTCAGTGGTCCTCCGCAGTTATTACTCATTAACCAGGTCCGCTAAGAAATCAAACATTAAATCAGACCCATCCAGCCATCGACCTGGCCCTCGCTAATGACCTCTCGAAGGAGATTCTTGTGGTTCTCCTGCATGCACATATGCAAAACACCATTGCCTCTGAAAAAGGGGTTCAGATACCATGCAAGGGTAGCATTTGAGGCAAATAACTTTCCCGCCCTCGACCTTGGGGAATTTGCTTCTTGGGGCTTACTGAAAGTCATAAACCCCCCCTCCCTGTCGGTTCAGCCTCAGCCTGAACAACTTCAACCCCAGGCACCAAAGCCGCAGCCTGTACAGGACCAGGCAGTGGAGCCCCAACCTTTACTGACTCAGTCTACCGAGCCTCTGTCAGAAAGGATCCAGACACTCGAGCCCCAGACAGTTCCCCAAAATGTCGATGACACACCGGCACCTTCCACCGCCATGGCCTCCTCCTCTAGCCCATTAGTGAGGCCAAAAAGTATTAAATTACCCACTGTAGCCGAACTAAGGGGCATCCCCAGTGATATCCCCCTAAGGCCCCCTGCTGCCCCACCTCCTACCCCAGACAGAACCCACCGGACTTTTCACTGATGACGAGGGGCTGGAGCGCCTCATGGACGGGACTGCTACAGACCCTAATTACTACGGCATCCAACTCTTTTCAGAAAACCTAGATAAATTCCAGTACTCTGATCGTTTCGAGATTGGCCTTGAAAAAAAAAAAATAGACGAATAAAGTGGCAAGTAACGAAAAAGGAGCATACCATTATGGTCACAGTTAAGAGGCTCCACAAAGACCTCAAGGAGGGCAACATGCGCGTCACAAACGCCATGATTGAACAATGCCAAAACATAAACAAATTAAACATCGGCTACTTCCTTGAATAACAATCCACACGGCACACCATACATTACACTCACGCCTCAGCATTATACAACACAATGTACTACACTGGACAACACGGAAAACTGAACTGCGCAACACATACAGAAGACACGACCCACACATCATACTCATTAACAGCCATGGGCTCAGTAACACCAACCCACTCAAAATCTACATGTACACTACCTATTCTTCTAACTAATCACAGGGAAGAAGCGATGTCGTAGCAATTGCGATCAGAAATGACTTCTCACCCAGACTCATCAGTAACTCATTCAGACCTACTGGCAGTCGAAATAAACACACTACAAGGACCCATTATATTAGCAATTATACATCCCTCCAAGAAGACCATACATACCAGAACCTGACATCTTGCAGCTCATGAGGCGCAATAAACCAATATACATCATGGGAGATCTTAACGCAAACCACCCACTCTTTGGCTACAATCACACCTACAACAATACAACAAGGCAGACTCACACACCTCGGTCCACACACACCAACATATATAGGATATAACACAGCAACAACACCTGACGTAGTCTTAGCAAACTACAAAGCTCATCTACACCACATCAAAACAGGCGACTTCACATCCAGCGACCACCTCCCTGTCATCCTAACACTGTCAACAAACCCTATCATAATCCCAACACTACCCCGAGAATTCTTCAAATATGCAAACTGGGATGGCTTCAAACAAGCACTTGAAGACACACAAGTAACTGATCTCGAAGAGCAACCCACACACATAATAAGTACCCACCTAGGAACAGTGGTACTCAGACATACAGACGGCCCGGCAGGCCAACATCCCCAAAACAACATAAAAGACTATCCCCCAGAACAGAGAAATCAAAACACAAATTACACACGAAATTAAAGTGAACATGAACATGAACATGAACAGACAACACTGGGAAACACTCACGCAAAGACTATGTCAAAGCACAAAAGATTCCAAGAAATTTTGGAGTTCCGTCAAAATGCTCATGGGATCGAACAAGCAGACAATTACATACATAGTCTATACAACTCACAAAGACAGACGGTTAACACGGTGGAGATGGAGCCTCTCCACAGGGAATTCTGGCAACAGAATTTCCAAATCTCCCCCATCGAGAACGCCCGATTCGACCACACCACTGAGACCGAGGTTACAAACTACATACAACAACATAGGAACATAACTCTCCCAAAGAACACCATCAGACTAAACACTCTTACAGAGGGCAGTCCCCTCTCTACACCAATCACACCAGAGGAAATAGTAAACACAATCAAACGCACCAAAAACACAACACCAGGAGCAAGCAACATAAACAAAACAATCACTGAACACTTTCCACCCAGAATGATCAGCAGACTACGCCATAACTTCAATGCAGCACTGGCAACAAGATGTTTCCCTGATAAATTCAAACACACCACCATCACCTTGATACCCAAGCCAGGGAAATCCACCCATGAGGTGGGGAATGACAGCCCCATCTCACTCCTTGAAGTCCCAGGCAAACTGCTAAAGAGGGTAATAACACAAAGACTCATCCCACACCTTAAAAACGACCAAACACGCAACACTAGGCAATACGGCTTTCGCCCACACAGGGGGACCGAGAGCGCCATCGCCCACGAGGAGATCGCTCTCGGCCTCGCTAACAAGCAGCAAACGAACGCAATACTACGAGACGTCAGCAAGGCCTTTAATAAGGTCTGACATGACGGTCTCAAATACAAACTAACACAATTACACCTGCCCACACACTTCACACGCCTTCTCTGTAGCTTCCTGGATGACAGGACTGCCACAATACGCCTGGAAATCCACATAGGCACCCCCCCCCCATCCACCTCAGAAGTGGAGTACCTCAGGGAAGCGTTCTATCGCCAACCCCTTATATCCTATACACAGCCAATCTGTCAGAACGAACACCATACAGCAACTATATTTCCTATGCAGACGATATCACACAGATTATCACACACCCCTCTGAATCACAACAGTTCATGGAACGAACAACAGAAAGAGCTTTGAGCACCACTGGAAAATACAGCCAAACATAAACCAATTCAAACTCACAATCAATCACAGTCAACAACACCAACATTCCATACACTCACAGAGGAAACATTCTCGGATTTCACTTCACAAGCACAGGCTTCATAACACACATTAAACAAAGAATAACACAAGCACAAATAACACTAACCAAACTAAAACGCTCTTCATGCTACACACCACAAACAAAGCTCAGACTTTACAAAACACACTGTCAGGCCCATTCTAGAATACACAGCCATCCCGCTGGTTGCAATATCAAACACAAAAACTCAAAATGCAATCAGTACAGAACAAACCACTACTCTGGGTACACGGCGCAACATTTCGAGACCGAATTTCCGCAGAAACACAACATAGAGCATACAGCATGGAACCACTAAATACACGCATACACAGGCGAGGCAAAAACACCTGGAAGACGAACAATATAACATCTTTGAAAAACACACAAACACTCACACAAACCATGCCTGGTGGCTCAGAACACTACCAATCACAGAACACGAAACACCCACACCGATATACTCACGCACACACACCGACCCTTTTTTGTGACCACGACCATGTCTTTGTCTTTTTTAAGTTATTAAAGGCTATAAAAAAATAAACAAAAATAAGAATAAATAAAATCAGAAGTCACCCTCAGAATCCGCAAAGGATTAGCTAATCCACACTGCCCAGCACTTAAACATAAAAAACAAAGTGAGCATCCATCCGCGTGCGGCGCGGATTAACCAATCACGGGGGAGAGAGGGCTGGCCACCTTGCCGTCTCTCGAAGGTATAAATTCAGCAGCGCTGTACAGCGCTAGTCACTTTGCCCGCCTCGGTCCGCCTTGTGGTCGTGGGGTCAGCGCTGACGAACTATAAACGGAGAGATTTCACGGACTGAACATCTTACGACGTTCGGGAGAGAGAAAAGAAAGGGAGAAGAAAAGTAATAATAACAAATTAACTAACTAACAAGATCCACTTCTGGAAATGTGTTCTTATCTGAGATAATATCACAAAAAAGTTATTTTACAATAATTATCGATCAGTGAGAAAGCCGAGCCCAAGAAACCCCAGGAAAAAGGACCCACAATGTTACGACTGTTGACTTTAGTGTCGCTGGCGTGTGTCGCCTTGGCCGACGACGGCGAGATAATGAAAGTGCCCACGTACCTCATGAACTACATCCTGGGCTGCAAGAGGCAATCGATCGAGAGCGGCTACGAAGTCCCTGTTTATCAGACGAACATCAAGCAGTCGGGGACGTCGCAGCACGTGAGTCTCCTGGACTTGGATGAGCTCGAGGAGTCGCTGAGGGAGGCGGTGCACAACGAGGCGGTGGTGACGCACGTCTTGAGCCAGGTGAACGACGCGGTCAGGACGGCCACCGACAACCCGAAGTCAAGGTCCGACTGCTCGGTCGAGAACCACATCCAGATCGCCATTCCCCCGCAGGAGCTAGACGAGTTCAACGACCGCGTGCAGATGCTCATTCAGCAGAACAGTTTCCTTCTTCTGGAGCAGATGAACACGCTCTTCGCCTTCAAACTGCGCTCGCTGAAGAGTGACTTGGAGAAGGTGATTAAGCGGAGGTACAACGCCCTCGAGAGCAAGTTGGACTTGATAATGGGAGCGCTCGGCGTCGAAATGCCCGAGGAACCCAAGCCAACTACCGACGACGACAACCCCGCAACTGATATGCCGGATACCAACACCGACTCCGTGTTCCCGAGCCTGGCCTCCAGCCCAGAGCCCGAGGTGGTAACCGACCCCTTCCCGGAGCCCGAACCGACG